CTTGGCAAACACCAGATTAGCCAAGCCGGTTGCCGTCAACGACCTGAGTTCGGACCACCAACCGGTGCTGACCGAGCTGGGCTACAACGTGGCCCCTGCACCGTGCCAGCGGAAGGACTACCATCGAGTCAACTGGGTCCAGTTTCGACGCGTGGTCGACCGCCACATCGACGTCAACCCACCGCTCGACACAGTGGAGGACATCGACCGGGCCCTGGAGGGTCTCCATCAAGCCATATCCGTGGCTGACGAAGAGTGCGTTCGACGAGTTCCTGTGAGGGGTAAGTTTCAAGCAATTGATTCCCACACCAAACTCTTGATTCGGCTCAGAAATGTTCGTAGACGCCAGTTTCAGCGGACTGGGGATCTGCAGTGTAAATGCGAAATGGTCGATCTGAATCGGCAGATCGCTTCCAGAATGGTCTCAATCCGGAACGAGAGTTTCGGGCGGCTCGTTCATAACCTGGACGACCGTTCCAGACCATTCTGGAAGGTTGCCAAGGTGTTGAAGTCTCACCCCAAGCCCATTCCACCACTTAGAGTCAATGACGAACGGCTTATCACCAACGAAGAGAAGGCCAATGCAATTGGGGAGCACATTGCCCAGTCGCATTTGCTTGGCTCTACAATCCCAAGTCCACTCGAGAACCAGGTTGTGCAGTGCGTCCAGACGTTAGATGCCTCCCCTTGTGCCGTCCCTCAAGAAGAACGGATTACAGAGGTACAAATTTGCTCAGCGCTGAAACGCAGTACGAACATGAAGGCTCCCGGGTTTAACGGAATATTCAACCTAGAGTTGAAAAATCTCAGCGCGAGGGTGCACTCGCTGCTGGCTGCCATCCTCAACAGATGCTTGGAGCTGCACTACTTTCCAAGCATCTGGAAGGTGGCAAAAATCATCCCGATCCGCAAACCTGGGAAAGACCCTTCACTACCGTCAAGCTACAGACCGATTAGCCTGCTCTCAGCGCTGAGCAAGCTGTTCGAAAAATTGATCCTCAGCCGACTAAACAAGTTTGTGGAGGAACATGACATTCTTCTTCCGGAACAGTTCGGGTTCCGCAAGGGGCATTCCACCAATCATCAGCTAGTGCGGGTGATGAATAACATCCGAAGTAACAAAGCTGTATCCAAGTCCACAGCCATGGCCTTGTTAGACGTCGAAAAGGCGTTTGACAATGTCTGGCACGACGGACTTATATACAAGCATTGTAACTCCAACTTTCCACCATACCTTGTGAAAATCACCCGTAACTATCTCCAGCAAAGGTCGTTCAGGGTGTCGTTGAATAGTTCCCTTTCGGGACAATTTCCGATCCCAGCAGGTGTTCCGCAAGGGAGTCTGCTGGGACCACTGCTTTACAGCATCTACACGTCGGACATCCCTCCTCTAGGAGACGGTTGCGTGTTCTTTCTGTTTGCAGATGACACCGCGATAGCCGTCAAGGGTAGGATGCCTCGTGAAATTACGAACAAGCTCCAACGATGCCTTGACACCTTTACTGATTATGCCACCACGTGGAAAATCAAAATCAACGCCTCGAAAACCCAAGCGATCATGTTCCTTCACAGACAATCATTAAAACTTAAACCGTCTCCCTCCTGTACCGTAATGATGGATGGTACAAGGGTCGAGTGGTCCACTGATGTTACTTATCTCGGGATGTTGTTCGATGAGAAGCTCCTGTTCCGCTCGCACATAGAGAAAACCCTAGTTAAGTGCTCCGCCTTGGTTAGGTGTTTGTATCCGCTCATTTGCCGCAGATCCCGCCTCTCAAGGCAAAACAAACTGGCTGTTTACAAACAGATCATAGCCCCCGCGATCTTCTATGCCGCCCCGGTGTGGGAATCGTGCGCTCAGACCCACAGGAACAAAATCCAGGTTGCACAGAATAGAGTGTTGAGGATGATCCTAGATCGTCCATTCGACACAAGAATAGCAGACCTCCATCAAGAGGCAGAAATTCCCAAAGTAGATTCCAAAATTGATGATATGACAACTAAATTTATTCAAAAATGCAATCTTTCTGAACATGCTTTAATAAGCAATTTGTACATAGTAGGTTAAGTGTATATAGTAGAGTAGGTTAGTTTTAAGCTGTAAATAGTAGTATTAAGTAGTTTCTCTTCAAATTCTAAAAACAAAACAAACCAATCCCACCAAGGTGGTCGACCGTGTACTAAGTCTAGGACTAATTCTGTAAAACAAATTTTGAATTTTGCCCATACTTAAAGATGAAGAATGCAATTAAATCACTTAGTAAAAATTTATATGGTAATCGTCCAAGTTAAACTAAAATAAAGATCATTTAAACTAAAAACTAAAAAAGCATACTAGACGCACCTCTGTAGTTCCGTCGCTCCTTAGGTAGATGCAGCAGCCATAAGCGGTTTTTGACGCATCCCCAAAACCGTGCAACTCGGTTGCCGTTGAATCTTCTTCCGTAACTCGTCGCGCGATCTTTATGCTATAGATGCTATCTAGTTCCAATCGAAATCTTGTCCATTCCGGAGCCGATTATCGGGAACAGGTTCATCCCACTCCACGTTCTTGCGCCAAAGTTGCTGCATCACCCTTTTGGCGATCACAACAATCGGTGCCAGTAATCCTAATCCGAACAACTTTGTGGCCTTCTCCGACAGAACCATCCGCTTTGTCGGTCTTTCCAAGTTGTCGATCGGCTTCACCAAGAACATAAACTGGTCATCAGCAGGGTCCCAGAGTATGCCCAAACTCTTAATGACTCCATTGATGTCGTTCTCTTCGAAATTTAGCTGCCTTTTCCGGGATTTATCGGGTATCCCTTCAAGCAATTCTTTATTGTTCGCACACCACTTGTAGATTTCAAATCCATCTTTCGCTTGCTCTAGTGTGTCGGCGCCGATATAAAAGCACTTTAGAACCACCTCACTGTCGTCCGAAAACTCCTTCTCTCGTCTTAAGCTAGCTGAACGATTGCTCTAGTGGCTAAGTAGGGTATCGCAGCCGTCGCATACTTTACCGTTTTCAACTCTAACTCCTGCAGAGGATTGGTCCTAGATTCACGCCACAAATAAAATGATATTTGCGAACGTATGCGGATAAAATGTGCAAGGAAAATCAGAAGAAAATTTTGAAAATTGGGTTGAATAAATCAAGGAGATAAGCTCCAAAAATGATTTTTAGCAAATTCTTGCAAGAATTTTGAAAAATTAACATTCCTTGAATGCCAATATTTCTTTGGAGAGAATCTTTAGAGTGTTTTGCAGAGAAATCCTATAATGTTATGGAGGACTTTTCAGGGGAATCTAAGAAAAATTCCGAAATTCATCTAGAGAATTTGAAACGAACCTGGGAGAAATCCTGGGATACTTCCAAGGAAATTCTAGAAATAAAAAGTTCGAAGACATGAACATGAGCACCATGCCACAAGCTTAGTTTTATGAACAGTGTTAACTAAAAGATTCACAACTGTAGTAGATAGAGTTAGTGTGGAATAAAGAATGAGAAGTCGAAAAGGCATTTGAAAATGTCTGGCATGACGGACTTATATACAAGCTTTGTAACTTCAATTTACCGTTGCATTTGGTTTACCCGTAACTACCTTCAGCAAAGGTCGTTCAAGGTGTCCTTGAATGGTTGTCTCTCAGACACATTTTCCATCCCGGCAGGCAGTTGGTTGGGCCTATTGCTCTACAGCTTGTATACTTCCGACATTCCTCCCCTCGGAGACGGTTGCGTGTGCTTCCTGTTCGCAGATGATACCGCGATATCAGTCAAGGGCAGAATGCCTCGCGAAATTACAAACAAACTACAACGATGCCTTGACACCTTTGCTGACTATGCAACAACTTGGAAAATCAGAATCAATGCCTCCAAAACCCTAACTATCATGTTCCTGCACAGGCAATCGCCCAAACTGATACCGGCCCCTTTTTGCACTGTAGTCATGGACGGCACAAGGGTTGAGTGGTCTGCTGAAGTTACGTATCTTGGAATTATTCGATGAGAAGCTCCTGTTCCGCTCGCATATAGAAAAGACGTTAGTTAAGTGTTCAAGCTTAGTTGGGTGTTTGTATCCGCTGATTTCTCACAGATCCCGCCTCTCTAGGGTTAACAAACTGGTCTACAATCAAATCATAGCACCTGCTCAAACTCACAGGAACAAAGGCCAGGTGGCACAAAACAGAGTGCTTAGGATGATCCTCGATCGTCCTTTCGACACTAGAATAACAAATTTACACGAAGAGGCAGGCATTCCCAGAATAGATTCCAGAATTAACGAAATTAAGACTAAATTTGCACAAAAATGTAAGGTATCAGAACATACTTTGATAAGCAATATGTATATAGTAGGTTAGGTGTATATAGTAGTTGTAGTTGTAAATAATAGTTATAAGTAGTCTCCCTTTTCCAATTTAAAACAAACCAATCCCACCAAGGTGGTCATACTTTAAAACATGCCTGATAGGACAAGGAATTATCGAGAGAAGTCATTGTTTACAAAAGCTGATTCGCCCTACTTCCAGCTCTATCTAGAATTCATACATGTCAAACCACACAAAAAAAAAACGGCGCCGGTGGTTTAGTGGTAAGCGTGATTACCTCTCACCCCAGCAGGCCGGGGTTCAATCCCAGTCAGCGCCGCCGGGATGTTCTGAGGCAACATCTCTGATCACGCCTTCCTTCGGATGGGAAGTAAAGCCGTTGGTCCCCGGTTCATGAGTTTGATGGGTCGATAGGTAGGGTCCAGGTGTGGGAGCTGCCTTCCTGGCACGCCGGTAGCATTGGTGCTCAGCACGGAAAACAAGATCGACGGAAAAAAAACCAAAGGAAAAAAAAAACCACACAAATACAAGAAATAAAGATCATTTAAAAGTAAAAAAAGAATGAGTAGAGAACAGCTGCAGCCGTGGGAGCTGCACCATTACTTCGTGTAGCCGTAGACAAGGTTTGACATCAGTGCACGTATTCCGTGGCAGGATGGGGAGACACACGTCGACAAGAAGATACAGTAGTGGGAAGGTCATTCGGTGAGATCAGAGCAGCGGATACTCCCGAATATAGAAGAACAATGGACGGCCAACAAGTATACCTTTAACGAGACGAGTGAGAACAAGCTGGGATTGAAGCTGTAAAAAGAGTATTGTAATAGGTATCGCTCAACAGCATAGGGTTTACCAAATTGAGAAATGATCTGCTTATTTATCTCATAAAATACCGACAGGCAGAACAATTAACATTACAGCATCTTAGGAAATATGTACCGTTCGTATCGACAAAGCTACCGCGCAAACAGCGGAGGCAGTTCCGCCACCGTCAAGTATCCCGTGTGTCCGGCCATCGTGTTCGGTGCGCTGGAGGTGATGTACTTTTTCGTCTCCTTCGGCGTTTTGGCATCCTTCGAATCCGTATCGGCTTTCTTCTGCTTCAAAAACTCCAGATCCATTACGGGTACGTTTTTCGTCCGAACGATATCTTCCACCTGCAGCACTTCCAGATTGACAACATCCACAAATCCGTACTGCTCGAGTGCTTCGCATACCCGGAGCGATTGTTCGACGCACGGGGAGAACGAGCAGAGGCGACCACCTGTGGCGAAAAAAAAAGCGAATTTTAAAACCGATCGGTTCGAGCATCGAATTCGTTTAACAAACCTGCATCCTTCATGGCTTTAACCGCGTATGGTATTGCCAGCTGGGGGGCCGGTAGATCCAGGAATACGGCATCAGCTTTGCCGGCGACTTCTTCACCAAATCCCTCCTCGCAAACATCCCGGTGCGTCACCTTAACGTAATCGCCCAACCCGTGCGAGTTGAATTCATCTTGAGCTTTCTGTACCCGTTCCTCGTGAAAGTCAAAGGTAAAGAGGAATCCGGTCGGTCGGATGGCCCGTAGGAAATAGTGCGAAAGCGATCCGGAACCGGTTCCCGATTCGACCACAACGCTACCGGGTTTGACTTCTAGCTGGTACAGGATCATACTGATGTCCGGTGTGTAGAGAATTTGCGTACGATGCGGCAAGGTTTGAGTCCACAGTTCCGCATTGGGCTGCAGGACGTGGGCCCAGCCTCTGGAGAGTTCCACCTGAGAAAATTTCGGGACATTTATTAGCTCGATACTTAAATTACACTACACTTGAAGTGGTCAAACCTTCGATCCATACTGAACACCGATGATGTCCTTCACTTTCAGGGCGCCGAAATTCGTCTGGAAGACGTGCTCGACCAATTCACCCTTCTTGTTCTTAATTTGCGGAACGGCTTCGATCGCGTACAAGTTCGTCACCGTGAGGTATACGATAACCGTGTCTCCTTCCTCGATGACGGATTTCGGTCCGGCGAAACTCATGCTATAAATCGAATGTTTAATCACGTACAATCAATGAGAAATCAAAAAGCACTAAACTAAACTGGTGCGGTGTGCACGTTGCGATGGATCGATTAGATGGTAAATAACTTGAGCGCAGGGATGCCATATAATTTTGCATTATCTGTACGAAAACTTATATTGTCGCGCTTATGTTAAATTCTCATTTAACCATTTCATTCGAGCAGTTGAAATGACTTTTACTACCACTCGAACTTTGGAATAAAACACTATTTTGAATTTTTTTCTTCTAGAACCACAACATTTGTGCGTTTCATAAAAAATATAAATTAATTGGTCCTGTTTTGTGAAATCGCTGGTAGAAAGTCACGCCAAAACTGCTTGACAAAGTGGTCAAATTTTGGTGACGGTCGAAGCGCGCTGCTCATAAGCGCGAGCAATAAGGATTATGTACAGGTGTGTAACTATGAAAGTGTTTTATTAAAGAGCCTAAATTTATAAAGAGGCGACATGTCAAAATTGGAACAATCGATTGTATGTCAAAATCATAGGAAAAGCCATTCCAATCGAGCAGAAGATCTGTCAAATGGATAAGATGTCATCTCTTTATAAATTCAGGCTATTTATATTTTATGAGCAAATCCTGGAACATTCGCTCCATCGCTCCTCAAGCCGCTGCCATAAAATACTCACCCCTATTCTGTATTTCGTTTCGAACGAAATTCTCTTACAAAAAAATATTTTTTTGTATGAGAATTTCGTTCGAAACGAAATACAGAATAGGGGTGACTATCTAAGTTACACACCTGTGTATAATCCTTATGGGCGGGATTGAATCGCGCTTCGACCGTCACCAAATGAGAATTTGACATAAGTGCGTCAATATGAAGCCTGTTTGGGTGATCAAATTAATGTGTGTATAAATACAGACATCTCTGTATATCTGGCATCTCTGCTTAAGTGCAGCTTTTGACAGTAGTTTGTTCGATGTCATGGTGGGTATAAACATGGTGATACAGTTTTGTCACTATATGAGTGAAGAGATCAGGGGGGGAGGGTGCGATTTCAGAGCAAATTGTTGTGAACAAATTCGGTCGAAACATGGTTGAATAATGAATTTGACACATTAGAACACCTATATATAGTTACCTTGGTTTTGGTTGGTTGGCCCTAAGAGGAAGAGTAGACAACTGTCTTCTTTTTGTCTGTGACGTGTTCTTCTTCTCTCGCGGAAACGACCGTGCAAAAACTGTTTCATTATGGGGCGACGCAGTCGACTGTCAAAATACAAGAGATTAATCCTTGTTGTAAAAATTCTCACGTTTCTATACGTTCGCCAGACCAATGAAAAAAGCTCGGAAAAAAGTCCCCCTATCATTGTCTCCTCTTACTTTAAGTGAACCCTACACGATTGCTTTTATTGACAATAATCGTATTGTCAATACATGCTATATTGACGTCAATATATCGAGATTGACAATATTTCTGAATTCACATCATCAATATTATTGTCAATAATTCCCCTTCGCGTCAATATATTGATGCGTGTGGGGTTTGCTTTAGGGTTGGCCGAAAGAGCGAAGTGGAATCTGATGGCCGCTCGATGGTGAGAGGTTGAGAGAGAGAGTTTAACCAGTGAGATAATGAGAGTTTAACCGGTCGCGAGCAGGCTGGCTTTATTGAAGCACGTGAGCTCACTTTCGAACTAGAATAGAACAGACAAACGTCCACTATCATGTGGACAGCTACAGTTGCAGAAGCGCGCTTTTTCTCTAGGAAGGGGTAAGAGGGGCATAGTGAGCATCCCGTGCACCAGCTTGAACTTCCGGCCGTTCGGAACAAATTGGTTGGTTGTAGGATCAATATCATAATGATATTGAACCTACTACCAGTTGATTTGTTTCATGCAGCTAGAGATCCAGGGCCAAACTGCGGGATGCTCACTATGCCTCTCCTCCCCCTATAAAGAATCTTAAGAAAAATTTCCATCCGGCAGCTACCGTAGAGTTCTACCAATAAAAACTCATTCTTGTGAACAAACTATACTAAATTATAGAAGAATCATTCCTCAACCCGTTTGTTTTGATAGTTTTCGAGATTGAGCTTTTTAATTCGCTAGAAATCGGTGATTAACGCGTTTGTTTACAAAAGCAATTACGCGCTAATCTCGAAGTTGACCGGATTTGTGATTGTTTACCGTAATAATTATTGGTATTTAATTTTAACATAACATTTATTGAGTATAGCGTGAGAGTAATATTTATGAATATTGTATTCAACCAACTACAGTACCCTTTCGATTTTGGCATCATAACTCTTCCTTGGTACGGTTGGATGCCAAAAAAAGAACGGATTTTAAAAATAATACATTTTCGCTCTTTGTGATTAGTTGTTGATAAAGTCAATGTCACAAAAATGACTCTTAAGTTGACTCCTCTGTACTCCATGGTGATCCGAAATTATTGAAATCAATAGAAATTACATCAATTTTGGCAACTCAAAATTTTCGAGTTTGTTGCAAACATCGAACGGACGGATGTTCCAATTTAATACAATCTTCCCTGGAAAGGAGTATCCAGGTATCGATCCAGTCGGCTGAAATATTATAATGTGCTCAATTCACTCAACGCCACCGAAAAAGCATAAACACTCACCTCCACGGAATGAACATATTGAAAGCACGGAAGATATCCAATGCTACAATCGCATCTTTCGCAGCATATTCCTTCTGCAGTGGGCTCAATTGGTCCCTTTCCCAATCTGATGCAGATACATGCCAATCTTTATTCAGCTTAACACGTACGACCGTTTCTGCCAATCCAGCCAGACTGTACTGACCCCGAATGCCAAGCTCCCAGGCCAAGATACGCAAATCCATCGATCCAGAAACGCAAATTCCATAACTGTCCAGAAGTTTACGGCCATCGTTAAACACTTCAATTCCTACTTTGATGACATTCGGATCGGCAAGCAGTTCCTTCAGTTCGCTAGGGATGCTATCTATTTTGATCAACCGTATCAAAAGGCACAGACCCCCATCGGATGCTAGCTGCAGAAGTGCCCCTTCTGTCGCATACCATATGTGCTAATCCACTCGCAAACCAATCCGATAACGGGGAAGTACTTACAGCGGTTACGGATTTGGAGAACGAGATCTCGACAAGCCGCGGCAGTTGTTACGACGTGAACGGTGTTGTTCATGACTTGAAAGGGATTTGGGTCGTTTTGAGATTTGAATGTCGAGCTATTCTCCATGATACCTAGGCTTACTGGAACCGGTGGGGTGCTCCGGGCATGGGATGATTTGAAACTGGCAAATAAAGCACTAATGGCGGTAAGCTCCAACTCGGATTAACTTTTAATACCGTCCCTGTTTGGATGATCTGCGAATTGTTTGCATAGCATCGTGTTGAATAACTCTGATGTCGGCATCAAAGCAGCCGGACATTCTTGATCAGGATTTAATCCGAGGATAATACCGATTGGAGCTTACCGCCATAAATGCCTGCAGGATGACCTATAGAGCGCAGTGTATGAATATTTCCGCTCATTGTTCTCAAAATAAAAGAAGCGCTCCTGCGAATCCCCTTTTTTCTACGTTTATCCATAGGACAAAGAAAATCTAATGGCGTTTCATTGCGTTAGGACGCGTCACCGTCAGCATCAGCGTCAAATTTGAATCTGATCAAAATTGACGGACTGACGTAGCGTCGATGTGAATTCGCCAAGTAGAGATGTCGGTGGAAAAGCAACATGACATGCGTTACACCTGTCATTTGACGGACGAACACCTTCGTAAACGCTGACGGTGACGCTGTATTGTCGGTCCCGCTGTAGAACGAATTTAGAATCAAGAAGCAGTATTAGATTTTAATCAATATCTCAACAATTTGTGACTCTTTATCAAATTCAACCGTATGGAAAGGTGAATAAAGTTAGAAGTCATCTTTGACAGAAATATTCAATTTTTTGTCTAAACTCGTTCAGAAAAGCTAGGCAAAGCGCGGGTTGTGCTTAGTAAGACGTAAATTAAATAAAAAACCCTGTGGAAAATAAATGAATAAATAAATAAGCAAAGAAGGTCCCGAAGAAACGTGCTCAAGTTTTTGGCTCATGCTCTGGTACTCTCTTCGGTCCCAAGCTAATCGATGCACCCCTTTCATAGAGATCTACCAATCTCACGAAAACTGAAATCCAACATCCATATATAAAAATGAAGAAGAAGAAACCAAAAAGGTATCGCGATATCACAACTACTTAAAAAGGTAGCGCGCGGTCTCACGCACACTTTTGTGCATCTGGAGAACTCTATAGCGAATCAAAACAAACATAGTGTAGTACTAGAATTTTGACTAAAATGGGGTACGCTTATAGATGTAGTTGGGACTAAAGAGCCTGAATTTATAACTTGACCTTACCGAAAATAGTTAAAAATTGTTTATAATACCTACTAAACTTTAACTGAAATGGTTGAGGAACTTTACGTGAACGTTTGTGTGATAAAGTTTTCCTTATGTATTATGGTTTTTTTTTGGAAGTGGAACTTAAAAATAATGGTTTGTTACGAGCCATTACCATTCAAAATAGTTGTTTTCTCCATAAATTTTCGGGAAGAGAACTATATTAGAACCTTTTTTTCTTATGGTTTGAGAACTTTAATGATAATGGTTATGGTAGACAGTAAGGTCCATGGATGGTTTTGTATTATCGGTCAACTTTACGTGGAATATATCGGGAATTGGTTGTTGATGGCTTCACGGTCCATACTTGTTGATAAGGGAAACTGCAGCATTAAGCTGTTATGATCGGATTCTGCGCAGGATGTTGATGACCTCAGTCACGAGCGTTAGAAGTTCCGTTGATGTTAGCAGGATGTCTGTTCTCGTTTGTTTGAGGAGGTGGTGCATCATCACGACGCAAGAAAGCTCCGGAGGGGGAGGAACTTCGTGATGCAGCGGTTACCGCATATGTCTGACGACTTGAGCTTGTCGGAGGGATAGGCACCCCAGCAGTAAACGAGACCAATGTAGCAGGTTCAGCAGCCATTAGGTTGTTCAGAGGGAGCGGCGGAAGCACCGGAATTTGCCCATTGTTTCCCGG